ATGGAAGCGAGGCCCGTTACTTGGTAACGAAGACTTTTAGGAAAAAAAGTTATATGAAGTACTGGTGATATTTTGACCCATCTATACATTCCCGAGAGGAAAAGAGGAAGTCCAGGGACACCCTGTATAATAGAAATAGTTTGTTTTACCAGCGAAATATGACATACACAGATGTCTTTAAAAAAACATTATTCAACCACTTTTCATAATTATTGAAAATTATATTATTCAAAAAACTTGCAGGTTTTTTACATGTTCAATTGAATTCGATTATATTTATGAATGTTCAATGTTTGAACTGAATTTTATCAGATATTTAGCATCCATTCAACATAAAAATTTATTAACTTTCGGAAAGTGGTTTTGTTTCAATGACCATTATGTATTTTATCGAATCTTTACAAACCACTCAACAACATCATGTCGTTTCACTGTTCTAGGGAGACTCCGATTTGAGTCCCTGGAATCCTATCGAATCCATGAACAACGGGGGTCCACTCATCTCGATTTCGCACTACTCTTGTCCAGACCTGTGTTCTTCGCCACCGGAAAGCGAATAGTATACGGATTGGGACAGGTCCACCAGGATATGAGACGATAAAATGGACTGGACTCCTGAAGGACCTGCTGGGTAGGGCACCAAGCTGACAAAAATTGTCAGTTCACACAAATTTGAAATTCGGAAACCTTCAGTAACATGGCTTGTGCACATTTTCATAATAATTGTGAGAGAAAATATGTCATTGATGGAAAATTATTGATGCATTTTTCATAGATTTCTAGAGATGAAACAAAATCCAAATTCTAGTTTAAGTTAATCTAAGGTAAATTTCGAAAACCTTTTTCCTTTCTTCCATTCCCGATCCAAAAGATTTGTCACTCTTTTGTTAACTTCCAATCACTATAGATCATAAAAGCCACTAATACAGGCTATGTGACGCGAATTTTTTCTTTTAATAATTGACAATATTAACTAACCAATGTGACACAATTAAAATTTTGATAAATCAGTCGTTGAACATATGGTAACATGAAAATTTCCAAATGAACTAATCTAAAGAAATGAACTTTAATGAACTATTTCAGCATTCAAGACGTTATATCAAAAAAACCAAAACTTTTTTTGCCAAAAACCAATCTCCCCTATCCCTTTCAATTTAAACGAAATTCTCATAGCCACCATTGAAACCAAATAAGCATTTGAATATCATAATGTATCGTCATCGTGACATAAGTAGATTAAACACATCTTTGATATAAAGTCATGGTATAAATGAATTGAGTGTTTCATTTTGAAATACTATCCAGATTGGTGGCAATAAAACAAGTGTCTTATTTCGAAACAAAGATGTCCTCCATTGAGGATGACAATTTTCTATGTAAGTGAAACGCTATCTCTTTCATATACTATATTGGGTAGCGTTCTTGTAAGTGATAGTTGATTCAGTTCCATAACGAACTTTTGGAGTACAAATTGAAGTGAATTTTTCATATCATTCAGTGATCAGTTGTTTGGAAAGTACTTCTTTCATGTAATTTAATGATTTCAAGAAAATGATTGTTTCGAGTGGGCTTTTTCTTCCAGATTGTATCTGCAAGTAACTTTGAGGCAAAATCTACACACCTCAATTATAAAGAGTTCATTTTGACTGTGTCGATGCTTGGGAGTAGGCAGTTTGAGTTTCTTAAGCAACATCCTTAGATTTAAAGATGTAAATGACCCAGCAGAAAGCATACATTTTACATACAATATTTGTATTCTATTTTGAATTCTTTTGGTTATCTTACGAGTTTAATATCCCACCTGATATGATTTATGCACAATATTATAACTGAGAGCGAAAAGAGAATTGAAAATTTCTATGTTTTTTACCACTTTTAACATATAAATTTTCATTTCTCTTTTCATTATGATCTCCTACCACGTAGTAAAGGGGCTACATCCATCAATTTATAACTGAGAGCATTAAACGTTGTTCAAATAAACCATAATCAAACCAGTTTCCATGCTTTAACGTAGATCTTGACGTCAATTATCCCATTATAGAAACAATGGCATTTATTCATATTAATAATCAACCTAGTTATGAGGAGTCTAGAATAGATATCCTGTTTTAAGTAAAAAGGCCTCGCTTTCAAGTTACCAAAAATGCATAAATTGTTAACTACATACTGATCTTTTCACTGTCAAAATATCAGCTATGCTACCTTTCTTAATTCACTTTCGGAGCCCATTCATGAAATTTCGTATCTAACAAAACACTATCAATTATTTATATGTGTGAATATCGGAAATTTTCGTTGATATTTACGACATCGTACCTTATGGATAAAGAAAAATCCTGACTCAAGTTGTAGAGCACACTGTTGTTGAAGATGATAGAGTTCAGTGAGAGTGCAGTTTGAAAGTTATGTCCAATTTTATGAAGATATTCAAGTGAGAACATGAATCAACTAGAATTCTGAAAGTATCACTGCTTTATGAGAAACTGGAATGTTCAGCGCTATAGAGTACAGATAAACCTCCCATACATATAAAAAAAATTCATGGTGTAATCCTTCTGAGTCAGGAAAACTTCAGTGGATATATTCCAGCAAAGCAACAGATTCTGATTCCACAACTTTCAGGAGTATGAATAATAAAAATTTATTATTGGGGAGGTATTGTTATATAAGGTTTCTGGATAACTTGAGAGAGTGGGTGTCAAAAGTTAAAATTTTATCTGAAACTGGAACCTGATAATTAATATTTTGAGTACATAACACCTGGGCTGAAAAGTCCCCGGCCCAAGAATGAAAACACTTTCTCTTTGTTCAAAATTTGCTTAATTCGTCAGCGTAATCTTCATTAAGAGCCGCACAATAATTCAGCGCCGCTCTATAACATTTCAATGCCACTTTTGTAGAACTGTTTATCTTTTGCCTCAAAAAAGGCCTCAGTTTCAGCAATAGCATTTTCATTCGAGCAAAATTTCTTTCCGGTGAGCATTTTTTTAAGGTCTGCAACAGCCAATAGTCGCTGGGAACTAAATCTGGCCAATATGGGAGTACTTTTCAATGTCTTTTCTTTACAATTTCGGCCTTCATATAACACTATATAATATTCACTGTTGGTGATATTTTCCTTCTCAAAACACCAAGGCCATAACCTTTCCAGCCGATTGTTATGCTTTCGAGCGCTTTGAACGAGATTCACTAATTGCTCTCCACTCAAATGACGATCGGTTTGATTTCGGAGATAAATGATGGATCTATGTTTCATTCATTATCACATATCGACGCAAAATTTTAGTTTGTTATGTTCAAACATGCTCAGAATCATCAAGACATTCTTTTCTTTGGTCAACAGTGAGATCGCGCAGCATCCACTTACAACAGATCTTCCTCATAGTCAAATGCTCATGCAATATGAAGCCGACACGTTTTTTCGATATCTTTACAATGTCAGCTAACTCACGCAACTTCACTTTTCGATCATTCAAAACGATTTTGTGGATTTTTATGTTTTCTGGTGTTAATGCCCCATTTGGTCTTCCACTGCTTTCTGCGTCATCGTTGTCTTTACGACCACGTTTGAAGTTAGCAAACCAACGTTTAATTGCTATTTCTGATGAAGCGGAGTACCAAAGTTTAATTGCTATTTTTGATGGAGCGGAGTACTTATAACACTTTTCTAGTTATTGCCTCCTATCAAGAAGTAGTGTAACATTGAAATACGAAATTGTTTCCGATCCATTGTTGGGAAAATAACGGAAGTAGTGTTAATCTTAGCGCAATAACTCACGAACTTTCTCTCAAATCACTCAATTGAAAAAAACGCATCAAAATCCGTTGGATAGTTTTGAAGATGCACAGATAACGTGATAGAGATCTCTACTACTTCAGGAATGATTAAAGAGTTGAAGCAACGTTAAGTTGTAATCTTTATAGTGAATTTTGAAAAAAGACAGATGAATTATTCAATATGCTAGATAATTAAAATGTTTGAGCTCACTAGGAGCATCATAGAAAACTGAATAAAGTAAGAAATCTCTACACATTTCAAATGTGTCTAAGTGTCATAATCTGTTGTACCTATTCGATGTGGAACTGAACCAATGAAGATCTCAATGAAAAATAGCTTTAACAATAGAGACATTATCAATGCATTCCTAAATCAACAACCGTTTTGTTGTCTTCTCTAAAATCAATTTCAATCGAAAAGTGAAAGCGTGTTGTTTTCCCATCGATTCAGTTATTAAAAAGTATTTTTATGCTGACTCATAACAATCCACAACACAATCAATTTGACAATTTATTGATTACCATCCAATCAACTTCCTTTCATTGTTATAAAAATCAAAATTGATACTGTCAAACCTTACTGATCTAAAAATAAATTTTTGCCAAAACGCCTTATCCGTCACTTCTCTCACATCAATTGTTTATCGATAAAAAAATGATTAGCAATAACATTGTATCATTGAAAAAATCAGTTGAGGCCGTATAAGCTCTTTCCCACATTTTTCCTACACAACTATGATGAGAAATGATATTAAATCATTTAATTTATTTCAATTTCTGTATATTTCATATGTGAAAGGTATTTTGAAAATCAGTGATGAATTTGGATCAATATTCCAACGAGAACTAATTCTGTTCATTTCATTTTTATGAAAAAAAAAATTACAAAAATATCCACCGAATTTACAGATAAGTTGAAGCCGTTGAGTAATAGAAAATAGATAAATGAAAATGGCCAGTATTTTGAACATTTGCTCAAGTAACTCAGTAATCCAATTGGACAACTCAATTTCTTCTTAGTGTTGGTTGCATACATTTTGGTTTTTGAAAAATAAAAACGTTTTCACTTTTACCACAACAAAGATTCACGTAAAAACTAAAAATCATTAAAAAACTCTGGTTGATGATTATAGGAGTATGTTAATGAAGAGCACTTGAGATGAAATTACGAATCTGAAAATGCAAAAGTATATAGGGTGTTACGTTTGAAACATAATTTATGCGTAAATTCTCATCGTGTAGAAAGAATAATGTCTGTAACTCACCCTGTAAGTAACTATTTTGTCAAAGAAAGTGGACAAAATCCTTATCAATACTTAAGTTTCCCAAACATAAGTGTAAATATGAAGAGATTTTCGCCAACAGAAAAGTTAAAAGGAAAATTTAATGTTGCTCTCGACTTTCCTCTGAGAGGTTTAAATAATGTAGCCACTTGTTATAATCTCTATACATTATCGAATACTTACACACTCTGGACATCAGTATATGAATACGTGGCATGAATATAACGATGCTCGAGTGTCTTCCATTTCACCAAAAGCTGTTGTAAGTCGAGATGCTCACGTTTTCTTGTATGAAGAGAAAATAACTGAAAAACACCTTTGAGGTGATTTAGTTTAGTGTACAAATGTGTTTTATATTTACATATACTAAGAAAAATGTTATTGAAATATTTATGCACTTGGTTCCTTTAGAATTATAAAAATTACAAAAAATGTTTCTCAGGTAATGAAATCCCAACAAAATGATGGTCTATAAATTTTTTACAATTTTCAGATTTATAACTATTCTTTAAACAAAATTTTAACAAAATTGTATTTTTCTCTTGAATGATGGATGAACACAAATTAAATTTCCAAAAACAACAAAAAAGGACATTCAGAGTAACTCGCAGATAATTCAGAATGATAATTCCGTAAATATTTACAAAACGAATATAGAAATATTGATTTATCGTCGGGCAGATAATGCAAGCCCAAATTGGACCGTCCGGAAATTATAAAATAGTTTAATTTATGATACAATATGTGAGATGCCTATAAATGAGCAATACATTTGTAGATTTTAAGGCTTGAAGAGAAAGTTAATAACTGTAACCAAAATCGAAAGCATTCAATAATTTGAAAGTTATGACAACAGATAAAATCAAGGTAAAATGTATGCACTGCTCTTCCCAGTTTACACAATTCAAATTTATAAATATCTAGTTTTTTAGTCGTGCTTGCGTACGTTCTACTAACCAAATCAAAGGTAGAACCGAAACCTCTGACGCGGGCGTGGAATGAATCTAAATCAAACACTGTTCCCAAACATCAAAACTGCAACATCTTTTCGACGCGTGTTTCACCAACTAATTTCAGGTCTTCATGAAGAGAAGATTGTTGCATCTTCAAGGTTTTGTTTTGAAAATAGCAGTGGAAGAAAGAGGATGAATCTCATCGGCGGATGATGTCAAAGCTTGGCTTTTCAACTGACCGCCTTGGGAAGCCTCACTCATTTTTGATATTCGAGGATTGAGT